TACCACAGAAACGCGGGCAGCATCTTATTTTGTTCACTAAAATGTGCCCTACAAAGTGTACTATTTATTTTTCTTGTCTAAAATATTCTTTCACCTATCTTATGCAAAAATACAAAGTGTACTTAATATGTTTAAACTATTTTTTGTTCTCTGGTATTTTTCGTAAGACAGGTGAAAGAATATTTTAGACAAGAAAAATGAATGGTACACTTTGTAGAGCACATTTTATTGAATAAAATAAGATGTTGCTCACATTTCTCTGGTAAACTGTTCAAAAGTAATGAGAAAAGCGAAATGCATAAAAATAGTAATGCACTCACTGTCCGGCAGCAGAGTTAGCGGAACAAGCTCAACAGTATATTTAACTTCGTTCAACATGTTTGTGATACTCCTTTGGCCTCATTACAGAGAAGACATGCATATTAATACGCTCTTTTAATCGCGTGATAAAAGTGACAGAGCACAGTGCCCAAGCAGACAAGAGTTTCCGAAAACGCGTTTAAGCACAGAGAAAAATACAACAAATCGGCTTAAAGTGGGCGTTTGGGGATCACAATCGAGGTTCCCGACGGTGAGCGAAAAACGCACAGCTTTGGTTCTTTTTGTGAGATTAAACGCGTCTTCGGAAACTCTTGTCTGCTTGGGTGCCCTTGAACCTTGAAGAATGTCGTAGTAATATGCTCGATTACAGCTGCAACAGCTACGTGTTATGTGTTTGCTATTCTAATTCCGTAGGAATTCCGCTGAAACTTCTATGTCAATATTTTGTTCTTTTAATGCTAACTGTGCCGATATTGATAGCACGCTTCAATGATTATCCTTCCTTCTCTTTCTGTTCTCTTTCCATTGTTCTAATATATCTCTCTCCTATATATATACGTGTGTTATGTATGAAGTTGTTACACTCTAGATATGTGAAGAAGCGGATAAACGTCATTGCCGATAGTGGTGGTAAGCTACTCCACCTCTATCCAGTGTGTCTTAATGATATCAACACCCAACAGAGACTTGTTTATCGTTACACTAACCTTGGAACTTTTATTACTAAACGCACAGAGCTTCATAGTTAGTTACTTACGAAACAAGCCACATTCCATTTCACCTTCGTTTCGTTCGATTCGAGTGACAACAGTGGCTGACGCTGTGACATCTACAGGATTGTTAGTTGGGAAGCAGAAATGAAAATGATACAGCGAAGGATCTTCTCTTGCGTTATAAGAGAGTCCAGTAATGATGGGGGAAAACCAGTATTACACATTCTTCAATATGAGAGGAATGTTATCTTTGTTTCACCTCTATCTTGACCCATAATGATTGCGAAATTCTATAGGGAAAAGCCAAATACTTGTAATGTGTTACTTGTTCTTAACTGAAATGCATACAATGGGGTATATGATTTCAATCTGAATTCTACCAAAAAAAATGACCCGTCGTTTCAAAAACAAATGAGGGGCTAGGGGATCTTCGAAACTATTCACTTCGATGAATTCAATTGAATTGTGAATTCAGAATTCAACTGAATTCATCGAAGACCCCCTAGACCCCTAGATCCCCCGTCCAAAAAAAAACATACCTACATACATATATATGAGCTCAGAGTTCAGAAATCTGAAATCAATTGAATACTTCTTGTTTTGGGGTTAAATAGTGTTCGGGTGACGGATGCAGCTTTGGTTTTTACATGCAAAGCGTGGAAGATGTAGAGATTATAGTGAAGCTTTGGTGAAGAAAGTTTGTTCATCGGTGTCTGGTTCGAATTGTTTACGGGTTTTCTTGGATCTCCTAAACCCCCACCTTCCTCGGAAGTACAGGTGTTTTTTTTCTTTTTTGAATTCAGTTTGAAATGGAATACCCCATAGACTCCTGAAATGAATGTGATGCAATCTTCTAGCTATTATTCATCCTAATTTCTCTGGACTTTGGTATCTTCCTCTCTTATTTACACTTTAGACGCGCACTATTAATTTACCCTTCACTAGTACATAGTTTAAAATCACTACGATCTTTTCTGTTCATACACTTGGAAATGGTATTCTTCATATGCCATTTCCCCACGAAGCGTGTTATTATTTGTAGCATTTGAATTTGGACTTATATTTCACATCGTTTACACGATCTTGGTGGAAAATGTCGAAAACATGATTGACAAAAAGAAAAAGAGAAGTTTATGGAAAAAAGAAAAATAGTGATTAGTATAGAAGATGGCAGTATAGAAAAATTCAAGTAATTTCGTTTGCATTGGTAATTCACTGACCAATGCATTTTATTTTCCAATGAATCAAGAAAAGTTCTTAATAGTAAATAAAATATATCCTAAACATGGATTCACCTATAGTCTTTGAAGATACTTTATTAAAGAATGAGAAAGTTGAGATTTCAGTTGTTACCTCGAATAAAGGTAATCCATTAATTCAATGCGAACATGTTCGTTTTGCACATATATCGATACAACTTGATGCTGAAGCATCTATACCAAAACAGTCAAAAAAAAGAGCTCTTCAAATGAAATTGAATAATCTTCAAGAAAGATTTCTGAAGAAAGAAATGAATTGTAAACAATTTCTAACGGCTGTATCATTGTTAATTAGAAACAAAAAAAATAGTATCAACCTCATTATATGTCACCATTATTTTATTTTTCACCAATAAAACATAGCACATAATATGCTTCAAAAGAATACGATAATCATTTCTGTTTCTCTCTTGCTATTCTTTCGGCATTTTCCCTTTTTGACATTTTCTACTAATCCCGTTTACACTAAATAAAGGTCCTTCTGTATCACGAGATGGTATATAAGGAACGAGAAAAATACAGTGGAGCACGATTCTTGATAGTGTAATAAAGTATTCGTTAAGGGCCTCCCCCCTCAGAAAACCCGATTTTTCGAAAACAACCGAAATCGAGTTTTTATCATAGAAAGCTTCCCCGCGATCTACTCTTTCAGAATATATATCATTTTTGGAAAAAAGGTTAAGTTTTGACAGACTTATTGAAGAAATACTCAATCATCTCTCTTACTTACACACACCTTTCTAAAAATTCCTAAATGTTGGTCTGAAAACATGGGTCTCAAGCAGAAAAATTGCTATAACTTTCGTTTGACTTTAGCTTCCCTTGATATATTTTTTAATTTTAAAGGTCTCAATTATAGCTAACTTTTCATCTGACGGATTTTCGATATTGGATTCCTGAACTGAGAAAAGTCCAATTTAGTGTGTTTTTTATACCTACTTTGGCAGTCATACCGAGTAAAATATTTATAAAAAATGAACAGAAGGGAATTTCAATACTCTGTGTGATGATAACTTGCATATGGAGGCTAGCTTTAATTTAAAACCGACCCGACTTCAATAGCTCTCATAGTCATGGAGTTATAGCAATTTTCGTGTAAACTATAAAACAAGTCATATATCTAGTTTAGTAAGGTACATAAGGCTGAAACTTTTACCACAAGTGTTTCTCACTAGGCCCATTCACTCGTGAAAGCTTCAGCCCAAATCTCTATTCCAAAGTGGCAAGTCGATTCTGAGGGAGGGGCTTAAGATCAAGTGGGTGTGGGTTGAGGGAGACTTTGGGGTGACTGTGAGTATCGGTGCGAGTGAGGGGGTGGACGGGAGGGGTAGCTTGCAGGGGTGCCGGAAGGACTTGAGGGTGTGTGTGTGGTTGTAGGGGTATATATGTATTCATATGTCGTATATATCCGAAAGTCAAACTAAAACTAAATCTATTTCTACACATAGTTTAACTTTTTCTTTTCTCCATTTATATTTGAACTCGCATTAGACAGCTACTCACCCACACCCACACCTCAAGAATGGGTATCCTCCGAATTTTATTAGAAAAGTCACACATCGATTCTTCGAAATTAATAAAGCATAGTCTCCTACGCGAAGATAATGAGATCACCTACCGACGATTACATAGCACATAATTAAATCAGTCGACAAGACGAGCAAAACAAATTAATGCACGACTTGCCAATCTAATTCAATATCCAGCAGCACTTCAAAAAAAGGGAAACAAAGACATCATATATTTCCACCGTATGCTTATCATTCTATCATGTCAAAAGAGTTTACAATACTATTCGAAAAGTGATGGAAGGAATATTACACATCCACGTATCGAATTTCGAAAGCAATCCAAATCAACCCCAGAGGAACCACAATACTCGTAAGACAAAGTAGATCTCACAAATAAAAAATGCAAGACCAATGAACTCTAAACAGAGCTTCTTTTGACATACAGAATAGATGTTATGTGTTTATTTTTTCTCATTAATGAACTTTGCATGAATATATTCTTCATCAAAAATAAATTTGTCATTGTGAAATATATCGAGATGCATCGTATACAGCTTTAGGTTTGCTTTAAATTGAGTTTTGAACTCATCCTCACCTCTCACCTCAAGTTATTCTAAAAGAGACTGAGAATGCATCTACAATTTTAGTCACTAAATAATTCCTTCGTTTTTTTTTGTTGGTTGGATGAGTGTTTTCTGTGGATATCAGTAAGATAACTGTTTTGATCAAATGATTGAAATTATATATATATGATTTCGAATAAACATAGTCGAGACTTTGAAATAATTTCTTCCTTCTGTTGGTCGAGATAAAAACTTTATCTTCATTAAAGCTAAATTGAATTTCATTAAATGCACTCGTACATTTTATAACTTCGTAAAAAAGATCAGATTTCTATGTGAAAATACTGGCGAGGATGTGAATCTGAGATGATCGTCACTGAGTATAGTTGAATATTTCTTAAAATAGTGAAACCGCACACGCACAGGCATTCATACTCATACCCACCCGCACCTAGACCGGCGAAGCGTTAATAGTACCTCAGTTATCAACACCATTTATGTAAGTTGGTAGGGAAACATTACAAAAATTTACCAAAAAAAATAAAAATAAAAACAAATCCAATGTTTTCTTGATTAATACCTATTCGTAATTATGAGTATTAAGCGTCCCAAAAAAGCTAACGCACTGATCAATTAGGCAAATATGTTTGATAATATCATCAAAATCAATAGACATACACTTGATTTTCCAATTTCTAAAATATAAACATTTTTATTACATATTTCTTAAGAAGAAATCGGATTTGATAAACCGAAATAAAAAGAAAAAATAACATTACTTAAATTTGTCGCAACAGCAATTACAGGTTTCCATTCTGTAGTCGTCGTTGTAGTGGCAGTTGCGATGGTTGTTTCTATTATAATGGTGGAATTCGAAATCGTTGTTTGTATTATAATGGTGGTCGTTGAAGATCTTGTAGGCATGGTTGAAGTAGTCTTGGAGAACACTGTAGGTTCTGTCGTTGTGGTAACTGATAATGATGATGTTGGCATTGTTCTTGTACCTGTGGATGAAACGATCGGTGTTGTCACATTTGCAGTTGTTGATACTGGTGGCATTGTTAGCGTGATGGTTGGGCAGTCTATTGATATTGTTGGTGTGGATCCGATTGGAATCGTTATGGTAGCAGTTGAGGAAATTAGGGGGATTGTCACGGTAAAAGTGGACGGTGTTGTTGGTGTTGTCATAGTAAAAGTGGATGGTGTTACTGGTGTTGTAAAAGTAAAAGTGGATGGTGATATTGGTGTTGTCATAGTAAAAGTGGGCGGCATTGTGGGTGTGGTAAAAGTAATAAAAGGTCTAGTGGGTGTTGTTACAGTAAAAGTTGTAAATGTTGTCGGCAATGTAACAGTAAAGGTTGAGAACGTTGTCGGTGTTGTCATGGTAAAAGTGATGGTCATTGTCGGTAATGTCATCGTAAATGTTGAGAACGTCTTCGGCGTTGTTAAGGTGAATGTAGATCCTGTTGGAACTGTTATTGTAGCTGTTGGTGAAAATTCCGAGATAGTAATGGTTCCCGTTGGTATTGTTGCCGTGAATGTTAAACATTCTTTTGGAATTGTTGGGAAGATAGTTGAAGATTCTGTTGGCATTCCTGTACACTCTTAAGAAAACAATGTTTATTTGAAAGGTTCTTAACAGAGCACACTCTAAGATCTTTTTTTAGATTCCATAAAAATCAATCTTCTTACGGATCGGAACATCGGGTTACCGTTCTAGCTCGTCACTTTCATAGGTAAAGCTTGATGAGGAGGGTGAAGGGATGTCTCAGGTAACAAAAAAGTGCACTACATTAATGACTGTTTCCTTTCGTTATGATTGCTTCTTGCGATATAAATTTGATCATTCCCTTTAAAAAAAACACATGAGTTGCTACGTCAAAAAACGAAATTAAAATATTTTTGATAATAAATATTATACTAATCTCGTCTTATTGTATCTAATTGTGAAACTTACGGTGTATACTAAATTAAATTCATATTAGAATCACTTCCTAAAGAGGCTTTTAACTATAACATACACATCAGAAAATATTTTTCAATATTTCATCAGAAGAGTTCGGACAACATCGTGAATATGTGAGAAAGTGAAATATAGATAAATAACCTCTGTTTTTATTTATGATAACCAAGAGTATTGGAATAATTGTAAGTCGCATAGCCATTTCGATAAAGTTATTGGTAGCCACGCCGGATCTAAAAAAAAGAAGTAAAAATAAATTGTTTTTACACGTAAATACAAATTTAATGTATTTCTTCCGTCCTCTCTTATCATAAACAAGTAGAGAAACGACGAATTTATTCGATTATGAGAATTCTTTTAAAATACATACTGAGCAAAACGCCAACACAAAAATCATCGAAAACGAGAGGAAGCCGTATTTGAATCTTAATTTGAATTATAATTCGAATAACAGCATCTATATTCGTGAAGCCAACGCAGAAAAAAAATAATATTTGTCACAATGTAAATACTAACTCAATAAGAGAAACTCATGCATGAACGGTAAAAATTTAAAAAAATATGCATATAAGTTTGTATTATTATGGGTGTGGGCGTGGGTGTCGGTTAGAGTTGAAAATATCCAGGCCCACACCCACACCCTTCAAGATGTTCCGGTTCAAGTAGATGATTACGTTCACCTTTCAAGTTAAAAAAATGATTAATATGAATCAGTATGAACCTTGGTTTTGTAACTCTTAGTTTTACAGATCCAATATATCTTCGAAGATATCTGTTTATTGAATATGTAAAAAAAGAGCATTCCGAATTAATTGTCAATAACCTCTGTTGGAATCAAGAAAAAATATAGAACTTGTATTAGTGGGCATTATATAGTCGATAGAATTAATTGATGAAAATAATAATGAAAAATAGAAAACAAAATCAATATTGTTTTATATCGAAATCTTACAATTTTCGACGCTTTTAACACATACCATGATGAGAAAATCACAATCCACATCACGTGTCGCGCATCGAAACACTCGCATACCTTCAATTCTTATTAGTACATAGATACCCCATGTGATAAAAACCTTCAGTTTACCGCTAATTATGGTCGGATATATTTACAACATGACACATCATAACTAAACTGATTGAACTATTTTGCAATATTTTTTCTATCATAGTTGATACTATTATAGACTGCCGCCAAAACATTTCAGATTGTTAATCTAGACGAGAAAGGTGCATATTGTATAGAATAATTTCGAGTGATTAATTTGCAATGAATAGCAAAAAATGCATCCTTTTATAATCAAATTAAAAAAATAGAATTCTATGAAAAGAAAGAATTGCCATATTTATTTTCATATTTTCGATGTTAAAATACCATTGATTCGCCCATGTAATGTTCTTATAATTAGCTCCCAAATATTATGAATACATTTTCTAATGGTTTCTTTCTTCACTGTAGAAATTTACTTGTTTCTTATTGTTAAAAAGCAGCAATTAATGTTTCATTATATATTTTCAATATAAATATCTTTATTTTTCTGTTATTTATGTTAAGGGCAATGTTTCGAAAATAACATGAATTCGCCAATCAAGAAATATATTTATATGCAGCAACATGAAAAAATTTAAGCGACAAAGTATTTCGATTAAAATCATGGCTAACATTTACTGTTGATATTAATCATGATGAATGGATCTTATCATTTTTATGTTCATGGTTATTACTATTATGATTACCTGAATACACTGGAACAACAGCAATAAGAAAATAGTTATAGTAATGAAAAACTTGAAGATTCTCCAATAGATCAGCTTGCTATGCATGATAAATATAGTGTTGATTGTATTATTATTCAGATAAAATTTTATGAAAGTTTACTTAATTTACCCTGAAGAACATGGTGTTAACAATAGTTAATAAAGTTAGATCGTAGTTTGCAAGTTCTTTCTATTCTCATATAATTAAATAGCGAATCGAATGGATTTCAATTTTTCTTTAACATGAAATTCAGAAAAGGAAAAAGAAATATTTCTATTTAAAGTACATATCTTCCATTAATAATTTTCATGTTTCGATGCTTCTTTTATAGCTAAGGTGTATAAAAACTTTTTTTTTCATTTTGAATAGTTCAAATTTTGTTTTATTGTTGGATAGAAAATTATGATCTTCTAGAATTGTACTTGAGAGTGTCAAATAGAATTTTAGTCATTATAGACGAACGAGTGAAAAGCGATAGTAAACTACTTCTACATATTACCTTCCGTATAAGTAGATGTTTTTTATTTACAATTTTGAATATTAGTATCATTTAGATTACATCGAATGGCTTTAGTGTAAATATTTTCATCAATTTAATTACGTCTAAATGATACAGAGGATGAATTTGATGTATTAGGAATAAAGAGAATTTCGAAATCTACTTTCCGTCTAAGCGATAAAAAGCTGAAAACTGAGTTATTTGAGAAAAGACATATACGAATTTAGCATCCCAAAATATCTTAACCTAATTTTATTATACTGAGGATTAGTATTCGCCTATAAGCATTTTTCACGTGTTAATTTTATATTTCATCATCATATTGCTTTTTCCATACCTGAGGTCCTCATCACTAATCGAAAACAGATGGTTGTTCTTAGCTTTAGAAAAATTATTTAGTTTAATATGTTGATTAAAAATATCGTATTTTGTTTGAAAAACTTTTCGGGCCATAAGCATCATCTGAATCACTTTCTGCAAGCTCTGTAGACCAGTTTTTGAGCGCACAGTCTATCAAAAGCTAAGCCTGATTCAGAAACATAGATTTAATCGATCCAGAATGTTTTTCTCTGTAAGAATTTACTTACATGAAGAAATAGATCATTCGAAGTTTTTCGAAACAATAATCGCTAAATACCAATCCGATTGAGCTATATAGTTACACTAATAATGATTAGTTTGGCTTTAGGAGCTTTCACTTCATAGGTATGTACACCAGTCACATGCTTTTGACTAAATATGTAATTCAACTTTCTTTTTCTAGTAATACGATTTTCAACTTCAAACCCAATGTCTAGTAAGTCACTCGTCTCCTTTGAATAGTAGATACCAGATTTAAATTGAAAAAATGCCACGCTTGAAATCAGCACAAAAAAATGAGTTGGCCAATGTGTCTTTGAAATTGTTTCTAATGAAAACAGAATTCCGAACTTTTATAATTCCACCTTAGGGCAAAATGCAAGATATCTACATTTGTTTTTACTTTCGATTCCTGATATGAAAAGATGACCAAGGATGAATGTTGATTCTCAGGGTAATAAAATTAGGTTAACATTTTTTGTGACACTAAATCCATAATGTGACACATCTTCTTTGATTGAAAATTTAGTAATATTTGATATAAAACCAAGTTAATCAATCTGCTTCTCAATGTTTGAATTTTTTTCGCATTTTTAGATATAAATTTATAATGACGATGATTTACTTTGCTATTTTTATTTTATTTCTTGCATCCAGAATTTCACCTTTGCCTGCACCAACTATTGCTTATTTAGTTGATTTGCCTGCGCCAGCTATTGTTTATTCAGCTGTTATCTATAATGCACGCAGGTCAACAATTCAATGTACTGTATTTCGGTCTCAACCATCAGGACCTATGCTAAGTTTTGGCCCATTTACTATTAAGAAAAATGAATATCAGTTAATAAAACAAGTAACCTATGATATGGGAACATGGACAGAAGCTGCAATAATAGAGAAAATTCAATGTGGAAATTTAGTAGTGAACGCTCCATTTGCTAATGTTGCATCACCGGTTCAAAATTGGGAATTTCGTGTTGAAAAAAATAAAATTGTATCGGTCGGACCAAGTTCATATAATGCTGATAATTAATATTTTTCTCTAACTATTCGATGACTTTGAACACCATATACATATATATATATATATATATCACATAGAAGAATGGTTATTTCCGTTCTATCAGAGAGTCGCGAGTAACAAAATCAAGCCATCGTTGCCTACTCAATTGTACTCAGATTTTTTCGAAAATTAATGATGATAAAACACCAGGAAATTCGGTGGGTTCTTGCTTTACTGACAATACTATCTTTGTTTGGTTTTGAAATTAAGTAGGAATAATAATGATATGACTTTGTTACTTGATCTATATATTCTTTCTTCTCGTTGATATTTACATACATATTTATGCGTGTGCCTATGCTTGCTTTTCATTATATTGACTACTCTCATGCTTTTTAGTTTTACTGTATCCTTTTCTGAAGAATAAAAGACAAGCTGATAGAAGATACAGGACCCGATCATTTTTATGACAGCATTGCAAAAGACGAAGGATTTTATTGATGTTTTGTACTTGATCACTCACATAAAGATTTTACACAAACATTAATCCACTGTTTAGTTTTACTGATTCAAAACTAAAAATAGAATCTATCTATCACCAATCATATTCAAAAGATGAGGATTGATTTAATTTTATGGGATGTGAGCGTGTGTTTCATTTCTCTTTTGATCCACATTCACACTCACATCCGCACCAGACCCACACACATGCAAACACCCATATCCTCAAGAATCAGAGCCCGATCGCTGTGTCATTTGTTTCTCTTCAAGCCAAGTTACAAATCCTTTAGCAAAAACGAAATCTGTGTCTTGGCATGCTTTACTCATACTCACCCCCTTTTTTATGATTTTTGCCTCCGGTTTAGCGTCAAACCGTTCCTCATCAAAAATGACTATTTAGAAATAGATACATTTTGTCATCATTTGCTATGCGTTGGTTACTGTTTTATCAGAGTTTATCTTACGATGCGTACACGATCGTTTATATTAACAAGGTTAACAGACAACTTCCAAGGGAATGGACATTTGCTTGCATCAATTGGTATTTGATAACGCTTTGTCGAGCGGTGGTTAATTAACCGAATATTGTTTGTTTCACAATTTATGATTAACTCAATAAGATCATTTTCTTTAATATCACCGTCATAGCCAGCATAACCGTTTTGGTTTGAACCATTCAAAAACGTTTGAGTGGTGCATTGTCCCCAGCCATAGAAAGATGGCGAATTATAGGAGTTCGATGCCATTGGTGTTGATTGTGATAAAACTCCAAAAGATATCCATTGATTACTTAACATTTTTTCTATTTGAAATTTAATGCAATTAATACCAGAAGAATATGAATTTCTTCCGCGAACTTCGCTATGGCCACGCGTGCCAACAAGAACAACCACAAGGCCATTTTCTTTAATTTTGAGAGTGTTGCTGTACACACTATCAAACGTCTCCTTAAAATGCAGTGGTAATAAATATGGAAATAAAAACGTAGCCCGATATTATTTAGCTGGTTTTAACGTTCTGAGTTAAAGTAATAATCTTCTCGTAGGTAAAGAAGTTTCTTAGATTTACCTGCATCATGTGTAATTATATTTGCTTCTTTATTACATTTAAGCACTTCTCTTTCATTTCTTCATTTTTTACATGTAGTTGGTCAATTGTGTCTTGCTGATTTTTTAACTTCTGCTCCATCGTTTCTAAAAAGTAATTTAGAGAAAAGTGATGAATTTTTATTTATTCTCGTTTGAACATGTTTTTGTTCAGTTTTAGGAGACCAATCGGCTAAACCATGAACCATGGGATTTTTGAATTTTGACGATAGCACTCTCAGTTTTTACCTTTCTGACTGAATTTTTCGAATATGGGTAGAGAATAGAGTTTCTACAGGACTTTAAGAAAGATGTAATTTTAGGTTAGAAAAAGTTTTCATTTACAGAATTACATGAATTGTTCACGAATATGTCAAACTAAGAGAATAAAACTTATTGACTCGATTTATTCCTCAAATTCTTGATTATATTAAAACGAGGGAGCTTTTGAAGCGCTTAATAATGGATATACCTGCGAGCACATTCATATATGACAGCAGTACTATTTGTTTAAAAGTTGTGCATGTTTCATGTTTGCAGTATTAGTATCATAAATTTGTTGCTTTGGCTCCTATGAAACTCCTATGTGTACAACTTTGTGGAGGCTTGTATGCTAATTGTTTTGATCTACTATTTCAGTGGGAAAAAATCGTAGAAAATGCTTTTTCTGGGTCTATATAAGGAAGGACACAAATCATACGATCATCAACATTCGGAAATATCAATCCTTATCTACTCTTATCAAGTTTTGCTACTTAACGAGATTTTACCGAGAAAAGATAGAGGCACTTTCTTTTCGCACTATTCAAAGTTAAAGCAGATTGTTTCAATATCTATTATCTCTCGCACTTTCACGAAGTATCGATGCCAATGTACTCCAATGAAAGGAATCAAACATTTTAGTTGTTGAATTTCCTGTTTGAATTCAAGTTTCAGTTCCTGAACTTGATTTTTCTGCTATTGAAGTTGTTGCTTCAAACATTGTACTTCGTTGTGATTCTTCATATCTTTTCGTTTGAAAAGAGTTTCGCACGTTGAACACTTCAAATCAATTTGATCACATTGCTGCTGATGTTGTGCTAAATCTTTCAGCAGTAGCTCACGTTGACATCCCTCGCATTTCTTGGGCTGGTAATCACACTGTTGCTCATGTTTTTCCAACCCTTCATAAGGAACTGCTGCTGAACAACCATTCTGCATGTAGCAACAGTTTATTTGTAGCCTTGATAATACTTTGAGAATAGCTCCTATACATTTGCGTTCTTCATAGTGGCAAGTGAATGGACATTTGTTAGGTTGCTTTTGTTGCCATTGATTGATACAATCAGAACAAAATGAATTTTCACATGTTTTACAAGCAACTGGCTTCCAGAGAATCATGTGGCATATAGAACATGTAACGAGGTCTTCGTCAAAACTACATTGTACACGATCAGCTGCTATTGAATTGCTTTGTTCAACACTTTTGTTTGAATCATTATTCATTTTTTTGAAAAAATAGCGTATTCTAACTCGTTGCAACTAGAAAATGTTTGCTTTCTTTCTTTTTTACTCTTATCATTTGCATGGACCATGCCACGTGTTTTTTTTGTTGTGTGTAAAACGAATCACTTTCGTCTTGGCTCCGTTTTTGAAAAAAAAGAACAACTTTCTCTGTTAGATGTATGTGAAGTACTTTTCGAAAAAAAGGTATGAAGAATCACAACGAAGTATGATCTTCGGAACAACAACTTCAACAACTGAAAGGCGTGTGGGCATGACGGTGTGGAATAAATAAATAAACTAATCAATGATGTGGTGAAGCAAGAATAGAAGAATAAAATCATAAATATATTACAAAGAGTGTTATTAGTTTTGTACTTTGAAATCGTTTGAGAAATTTTTTTAATGTTTTTCAGTGAAAAAGAAAGATTCTACTTTTCTTTTTGAATACGAAATGAAATAAATATAGAAAATAAGCTTTTTAAAAGAAAAAAGAGCTTGTTTTTAGGTGTAAGAAAGGAGCGAAAAAATATATTTCACTTTTATGAATAAGAAAAAAGAGTGCTTGTTTGTGGAGTAATGAAAAGATGATTTTTAATTTAATTTTATAGACTTTAACGATGAATCAACGAATTTTAATACAAAAATTGTAATAAGCTACCCGTTTCGAATAATTCTTCAGGCTAGAGTGACTCATTATCTTTTTTTCCTTCTATTCGTTCTATTCTTGTTCCTTTTTTTCTACGCTCGTTCAATCAGAAAATTCTCATTGGAGAGTGAGGGGTTATGGAGCCAGAGAAGCACCCCATGGTCCCGATTCCCATATTGCTTAGGGATCTCGTCAGATGATAATGACTCTGCTAGACTTGTTTCTATGAATTCTATCTGAAACACATAAGAGAAAAATAAATATTTTCAGGAAATAGAGATCTAGATTAGGAATGCTAAAGTGTTGCTGACTGGAAATGGTGGAGGATTGGGTGTGGCTGTGGATGTGACTGTATTCTTAGCTCAACCACACCCACACCCGATGTTTTCGTGTTAGTTATGTAAAAAGATTTTTTTATAAGACTTCACAGCTCAGCTCTAAATCGTATTATTTCAATTAAATATGATATCGAATCGGTTTTAAAAATAAATAAAAAGAGTTAATCATTGAAAATTAGATTAAATGAAAAATGAATATCGTATTTTTTGCAATTATGCTTACCGCATTCTTTTTAGTGTCATATCTCTTCATTATAAGGGACATTTTTACAATATATCGTCGAATCTACCGAGATATGATACTTACCTTCCTTGTGATATCGAAGACTACGATGAAAACGACAAATCTCCAAAAGTATCTCTTGATCTTGGTGATTTCACTATTTTCAATTTTATGCCCTTTTCTATTATGCATCCAGCTTATTCAATCATAACAAAAATATTTGTGACTTTGGAATGCATAGTCTTTATACAAGTCGATTATAACATTAAAAGACTCATTGCGCGTATGTGGCATTTACGTGGTATACCTGATTTACCATGCCCTGTTGTGTTTTTTTAAATGTACCATATAACTGTTGATTTTATTATGAATGATAGAACTATGGATTGTATTGATATATAAATTGGTTGGCCGTAGAAAGGCCGAAAGAAAAATATCGAAAAGGAAAAATGTCGAAAACAGAAAAGATAGAAAAAACCGACGTCTCTACTAAATGAAGATTCTAATAGTTTATTGTTCATTGTTGTTAATCTGATTATTCCATTGGTTTGACACTGTTAACCATTGATACTATTGATAGGTAATATCTTATGAAAACTAGCTAAAATAGGCGTAAAATAGTATACAACGATTAAAATTCTATCATGATGACTACAGCTTGCTCATTTTTATCTGGTGAGAATCATCCGTCAACTCCAGTTATTTCATTTATTCAGTCGTAAAAAGGAAAACCTTTCCTTGTATCAGATAAATATATTTTCAAACTGAATAAAACAGCAACAACTAGTAAATATTGGATATGTGTATTTTTCTTTATAACTCTTATCTATCTATGATTTATGCTATGATGCTATTATGATTTCAAGAATAAAAACATCTTAGTGCAAATTTTCGACATTTTTCCTTTCGGTCTTTCTACGACACACCTATAAATTTATATAAAAAGATTAAGTTTTGATTTCTTTCAATAATAATTTTGAATATAATAGAAAAAAAAAATATTTATTATCTATTATATATTTATTGCTTTATTTTCTTCACTCGATTGAAGTCAGAATATTTTCTTGTAATTATAACATGATCTACGAAGAAAAGGGACTTACAAAATGAATTTGAATTTTTCGTTGTTGTAAGTCGCTGTTTTTCTTATCGTTGATATTTATTAATCATAAGAGTTGAAGTTTATTATGTTCTTTTTTTTTGTTGCTATTGATTGAGAAAATGATGTTTTTAATAGTTTTCTTATTGAAATGCTTGTTTGAATGTTAGAAAAAGAAAATTTTCTTAGCTGATAATCAGTTGAAAATTATTATCAATTTAAACTATTTTTTCTTAGAAAATTCAAATACAATCAGTTGTGTTCTACAATTTTTTTCCGTTAACAGTAAAATTTTTTTTTATGTATTAATGAGAAATCAGTTTTTAGCGAATGTTCAAAATTTTGTTTAGAAAAAAAGTCATTTTTTTCGTTATTTCTTCAATACTTCGTCAGTTTCTTTTCTGACCAAGAACCCAATTTAACTACTCTCCTTCATTTGAGATGATATTATTATCATAGAAAAGATTCATACTGCATATTAAATCCTTGAAAACGCTCGTACTATGAGGCGTTTTTCTCGAATTATCATTAGGTTATGGATGTATGTCCGTGCGAGTATGCATATGAGTGAGAATATACTTATCCATTTCCAGCCGAACACTAACCTTAGGCTTATCTACACCTGCACACAACCTGTAGATCCCATAGTCCACCCGCATCCGCACACTCAGTCAGCCACATGTCACACGTACATTCTTGTTAAATGAATATCGTAAAAACTCTGCGAGTAATACTTTATGTTTCCTTCTTGTTGTGCAATGTGTATCGCATATGCGAAAATGCCAACAAATCTGGCTTCTATCTATTGTGTGGTAGTTTCAGATCGAGTCTTTGGTGAAGATTATTTTCATGACTTTTTTCTATCGTAGACTTAATTGTATATGCATTCTATCGTGTTGTTTTTTAATATCTAGTCGTTTGTTTTTTGTTTAAATGGCTCTATAAGTGATGCTCAAAAATGTCAAATATCATTTTTGTAAATAACTCAAAGCATAATCCTGATATGGATGCAAGTGTGAGGTTTATTTTAAAAACTCTTTACAGCATTGTAGGTCTACCAGTAGTATCTTCTATTCAACTCACATTTTTTTCAGGAGAGTTCTCCTCTTTCCGAACATGTTACCTAAATTAAGTGATATTCCTTTCATCTGTTTAATTTAACTTAAGAGAAAAAACAGTAAATTTAATATGAAGTAATTTTTATTATTTTCTTTTTTTAAGATAAGACAAATTGAACTGAATTGTCTTTTTTTATTGATTTAAAACAGTTAAACAAATATGCTTTACGAAATAAAACTGTTAAAATGAAACTATCTAGTTTTTTCTTGCATTAAAATAGAATTTAATCTCATTCTTTTATGGCACTAAAATAAATATTTTAAATCTATTTATCCATATCAAACAGAAATTAAAATGATTTTAGTTTTGAACAGCTGTTAAATTTACAGCTATATCGCGGTATAATGAATCTAATACATTTATTTTATCTTTCTATCAAGTTAAGAAAAATAATTCATTAAAAATATTCAGCTTCTAGCGTATTAAATGAAAATTAATTTATACATGTTTCTTTTTTGTTATATTTTATATAAACTAACATTCAATTAATCGAAAACAATTATTTACGAATAAAATAAAATTATTGCAGCGATTTGATTTATTTTACAAAGAAGATTAGTTTTATATCATTGTAAAGTTTATTTTCAATTAAATTAGGATGGATTTAATTTTATATTTAATTTTTCAATACAACAAAACATTCTAATTTTTTCTTTATCGTAAATAAGTTTATTTTAACGTTAAACAGTCGAATTTAATTTATTTAAAAATTCATTTCTTTATACTTTTTGTTCAATGATTTAATCTATCATTTGACCCCATTATCTGAAAAAATAAAATTGAAACTGTCAACATAAAGAACTTTCATGCTTTTGTTTGCATAACTTTTTTAAGGTCTTCTAGAATAAATTCAGTCTCAGAAAGCAAATGTGATAATTTATATATATATATATATATATGTCTCAGAACAGAATGAAATTTAGTTCAGATTAAAATATTTAGATATAACTAGTTTAGTTTGAAATTCTCTTAGTTGAAATAAAAATTATTTTATAGTAAGCTAAGAGGATTTCAGACTGAACTAGTACAGATGAGAATATTTTAATCTGAACTGAATTTCATTCTGTCCTGCGAGATAATATATAACTTTAGTTATTATAGACGTCTCTATATTCTGTTCACATCTGAAAGAGGTGGCGGTGCTTTTTCAATTGGTTGGAATAACCCATAAAGCCAGCAGTGTTCAAACTTGCAAAAATAGGAAATTTCTGTAATTTTGGAAATTTCAACATTAATGTTTTGAATTGCTCAGTATTTTTCAAAATGATGAAATTTCTGTAATTTTCTTTTTGGGAAATCTGACCATACCTCAGCTAACAATATTAAATTGTCCAAATAAAATTAAAAATTTCAGTAATATCTTTTAATTTTAATATTTTAGATAAATAAAATAATAATATACAATGGCTGTACCAACTGAAAGCTCCAGCAATATGTGAGTAAATATTGATAATTTCTAAAATAATGAGACCGTACAGAGTCAGCAAGGGTAAATGCATAGAGATGATCAGTGGAATGCATATCACTTTTTTATTTTTTCAAAAACTTTTCTTCGCAAGACCAACGTCTTGTGAAAAAAAATTGAAAGCTAAAAAAGTTATGCTCATTCCACTGATTCTCTCTATACATTTATTTTCACTAATTCCACTACATAAAGCATTACTCATTCGTAACACATAACATTATGTTTACGAATACGATAGCTCCTTGCTGAGCATGAGTACTAATGCTATCATTACCATCAGTTACTTTGATGAAACAAATATGATACGCTTGCACTACATTGATAAATAATTTAAGTGATTCCTTTTTCAATAATTACATCGAAGCGTATTAAATTTGTTTCACCTGTTCGTCATTGTATTCCCTTTACATTTGGCGCAGCTTATCATTTTCTTTCTCAAATAAAATAAAGTCATCCCTTTCTTAATTATTCAAGAATGATTTGTCTTTTACACCATTCTAAATTTTGTTTCTCGAGAAGAAAATATGGCTAAGAAGCAACGATCAATTCGTTTAGAGTATACTATATAAAGAAAACTTTTGTTTCTCATGTTCTCGAATGAACATAGAGTGAGAAAAGCATTACATATCTTTTCAGGGATACTCCGCGAATAAAGTTGAATATCCGAAGATAAATAACTTGATAAAGATTTATTTTAGCTTCTGAAGGTTGACTTGAGCTAATATTGTCTCTAAAATGACATATGATGTAAAAGTAAAATTAGAAATGTTGGACTCTAGTTCTCTTCAATGAAAATGTGCCGAAATAAAGCCCTTTTCTTAAGCAAAACCTTAAGAATTTTCCCTTGCGGATCTGATATGAGTTTTTGTATGTTCATAAAATAACAATACAGACAGGAAAAAGCCTTCCCCTCCAAATGAATCCGCACTTTGTATAAAATTTATTATAACACCAAACAGTGTTGATTCGTAGATCTCTTCTATGCATACGTATTGTGACGTTCATTTTTTTATCATGTAATAGAAAATGTTCTCTTTTTTCGAACTGCATATGATTTCTTTTTCTCACATATTGATAATCAAAGTAATACAGGAAAAAAACTTGTTAGTGCGACCCCTTGAGGGGTTCAAGTTTGGAACTCACAAATCTCGACTTGTATAAGTTCATGCTATATTGTCAGAGAGGCTACAATAATTTATTTGAAAAAGTCAAATAAGTGAATAAAATTATAATAATAATTATTATTATATTTGATATATGCACTGCGAAATTTTAATTCTTCCAATTACTATTCTGCCAATATATCAGATTCATTTAACATTGTTATACTAAAAATACACATAGAATATACACAAAGTTTAAAATTTCAAAAAGATTATAGTTCTCTACCAACGATAATCGATTGCCACAAACGCCATCTTTTTATCTGTCTTGCTGTTGCTTGCATGCTATTTCTTTTTCGATTTTTTTTAAATTAAATTTTCATAGTTTATTTTTATTAGCCCAGCCATTAATTTAAAGAATGAATAAGCCTGTTTTACATATTCGTTATATTTACAATAGATCTTGACGATATCGTGTGCATCTTGATGGAGTTAGTAAAATTGAAATTGATTATTTCTGAAAACGAGAAGGTAATCCGATCATAATTTTTTACTGACGATGTTACAGTTGTGGAAAAGCACAAAATCATCCTTAATATCTATCATATAAGCGTTTATCAGTGCATGAATAACAAGCTGTGTTTTTTAGAATATTTATAAACATTTTTCAGTCATTTACATTGCAATGAAGGTTCTGGCATATTCTAGAATATTTTAAGCATCATTATTAATATCGTTCAAAGCCTCTAATGCTGGTTGTTAAAGTCTGTAATGGGAGAGAGGAAGGTACAAAAGAATCTCGACTTAAGCTTCTACTCTCTATTTTCTTCGAAAATATACTCGAGTTTCATAAAAATCGTTGTACATATAGTTATGCATCGTGAAAGCTACAACTAGATATGGACAGTAATTCATAAGATAGAATTTTTTTGTATATCTTACTTATTGCAAATAGCTGAAGAACATTAAAACCAATGCTAGAGACTCCGAGACAACTTCCACTGAGTACAAACAAAATGATAGGACAACCGAATGAAATCGAAGTAGAAAGTTTCATACGATAGTTTAATAGTAATAATACCGAAAAAGGGAAGAAGCTTTTGTTGATATGAACAAGCAATCTTTGATCCATTCTTTGTAGATGTATAAGAATAAAAGTTGATTTTGATAGTTTTCAACAAGACTCAGTCATTGTTAAAAATATCTACTCGTATGTCAATGAGTTTACAAACGATTTTATATTTAAAATAAAATGTTTCAGTTCCAAGAATAATTAAATTAAGAAATATTGATACTAATGATCTTAATTATTAACTCGTCTGAGAGTTATTTCTCGAAAATAAAGCAGATAGGATGAACGTTTTCATAATTCTCTTTTACATTATAAATCCTATTTAATGCGGTGGAAAGGTCCACTGTAGAGTATCCCAAAAATCTAAACTCGAACAACACAAATAATCGTCTCTGTAATTTATCATAAAGCAGTTTTCGCCAAAAAATAGTATCGTTTCATTGAAATCAGCCTTTTTTGTCGGATTAAACTCTAGAATTTACCTAAATACACTGCTTCGCACCACATTAGTGGCTCGCTTTTGTGAGATATCAGAGAAATTTAGTCTGCCCTCAGTTCTGATTCTGTGAAAATCAATGAATCTGATTTCGATCATTTATTGCATATTAATGTACCGATTGTGGCAAGGTTAAAAGAAAAAGAATATGCAGTTTGTATCAATTAATAAGCTAATTCATTCAACAGATAGACATTTATTTCGAAAATCAATTAGTACAGCACAGCTTCTTTTTATATTTTCATCAATCGAAAAAAAATGATATGAGTGCTATTTTTTCGTTACTTTTTTCATTAATTTCAGATTCTTCTGTTGGCTGTGCTGTTGGTCGTTGGTATTTCAAGTGCTGTGAAGATCGTACCTTTACTAAAATCAATCAATAATGACAGTAGTAAGAATAATATCAAATAAATTTATATCAGAGAGAACTCGTTGAAATTTGTGGATTAAATGCTAAGTTATTAATCTTTCAAGTTACAATGGATAACATTATTTTCTTCCAGATAAATATTGAAACAGTAGCTCTATTTCGCGATGTCGAATAAATCAGAAATCAGTATTTTGTCCAGGATTTTTTGGCATGCTGGATCTCAGCTTCAGAACATGGGATCCAGATGAAACTTATAGAGAGTGATATTAAACCTTAAATGATGAGTTTTTATCAAAACTTTTCGTTAAAATTCGTAATTTGGGATTAATATCGTCCTCCATAAATTTCATCTGGATCCTATGTTCTGAGCTGAGATCGAGCATGCCCAAAAACCCTGGATAAAGCAGTTCCTAGATCCAGAAAGAACTGAAAACTAATATCCATTTCAGAGTAAAAGAAGAGTGAGTATTTTTGGAATAAATTTTGATAGGAACTAGATAGAGATCTACCGTTTTCACCGTTGGGAAGAGGATGTGAAATTACGTCGAATACTTAATATCAAACGTTTCTAACAAGTCTTCTTAGGGTCACTAGCCAAATTTTTTACAACAAAACATTGTAATGTAATCATTTCGGAATTTTTATTTTCAGTAGTGCATCAGAATCATCAAGTCAAGCTTAATACTCTATGCAAGGCTGATGTTAACAGATTTCGCCGGTCAAAAGTTATTAATATTCTACTACGTGCTTCAGCCAGATTTTTCACGAAAAAAAGTGACTTTTCAAAGAGAAATTCATCTTCTGAATCTATTAAAAAGCGTTAGTTGTAAAACAAATTGATGGAAGAACCTGAGAAAACTTGTCAGAAAATTCAGATATTCAAGATTCGAAACAGCTTCATTTCTTGTTTCCACCGATGAAAACCGTAGATTTCTATCTAGCTCTTATCAAAAAATATTCACACTTCTTTTATTTTGAAATGAATATTAATAATAAAAATTCATTTTAATACTTATTTTGATGACTATCTATCTGTCAATAATATTCTCTTTTCTTTCGACTTTCATTGTGAAATGGTGCAATTGAAAAAAGGAAAAACAATTTATGTATTTCATATTTATTAAATCATGAAAAATTGTTTTGCAGCATTCTACTCATTAGAGAAGACAGCTCATTAAACTTACTGGGTAACCACTGTCTAGTTCATCATTATCTATTACTTATATAAGTTTCAGGTCGCTCAGATTATTTTTTTAATGTTCAGTACGCCAACAGATATCATCTTTTGTAATGCTCATGGACGGACGAAACTTTCAAATATTATAAATAGTTGAAAAATTTTTTTTTATGAATTAACGATTAATTTATATTTTATGCAATAAAGATTTCAGTTTAAAGCACAACTGGATAAATAACTTTGAGAATTCTGCATATTTGATATCCCAATAACACAGAATTCCAATGGAAAGTTCATTCGAGAGAATTAGAATAATTTTCTTCGTTCACGAGGGAACCGTTCTCAGTGATGAATTGTCACTGAGTTTAAACTTTGCGAATAAAGTAGGTGCCAATAAGACATGAAAAAAAACCAGAAGACAAGTGCTCTTAAGTCTTTCCGCTTGAGTTATAGCCATTTTACTGGAATTTTAATCTATATGACTGTATATACCAAAAACTTGAATGACAATATTTCGAGCTGAAACTTTGGGCACCGATTGGTTCACTTATAACTGGAATATCCTGCAATTATGACGCCAAATATTTTTTTCACAAGATATTACATTTCTAAGAAAAACAGAAGATTTTTTGCATTTTTTTCTCGGATATGAATGATTTGTCCAATTCCTAGATCTTATGAAGGACATCATATTTTGCACTGTCATTTTAAGGCTATTCTAGCAATAAGTACACCTCTCTGCGAATAATGTTTTAACTCCAAATTCCGTAATTCAATGTTTTAGTGCATATCATCTTATAGACTAAAATTTTAGTAAAATGACTCTAACTCTGGTGGGAATGCCTCAGAGTATTTGTTCTTTTGGATCTTTTCATACCTTACTGGGGTGTATCTTATGCACAAATTTCGAACTTAGGAACGATTTATCACTTTGAACAGTTCTCTCATGAATTTTCTTTGCTTTTAGCAAACTGTACAAGTGATGCTTATCGTATAAATAAGCATGGTGCACATGTTGTTGGCTTTGTCGCTCTATACAGCATGTTAATTTTTCTGTTTGTTTCATTTCATCTTGGTCTTATGATTAATCACCAACCAGTGCTGAAACAATCACTAAACCTCAACATGAAACCATCGAAAGTAAGATATTAATTGAAATATATGCTACAGTAAAGCCTACATAGTGAAACACCCAAGGGACTTTTCAAAAGCGTTTACTATGCAGAAGTTTGCGTTGATTTTCGCAGAAAAAGTACCTACAACTTGAGTACAGATCAAGGAGACCTAGCAGTAGTTTCTTTTCTCTTTATTCTGTATATTCTAACTTTCATTTTACTTCAAAAAACTATTCGAATGTCACTTCATCTATCTGAAGACTCATGCCAATCTGAGGTTTTCGTTTGGTGTCTTTATTCTGAGTAGTTTGATAGTCTACCACGTATTCGATCATTCTCTTAAGAATATTTGAAACAGAAGCGATCGAGCACCGATACTTTTTGACGAGTTTTCGATACGAGCGATTGTTCTCTTCATCATTACATTTGATCAGTTGAGTCTTCTCTTCCATAAGACGTACTCATTCCAATATTTTAACTTTGGAAAATAGAACTTGACGTCATGCCGACCGTGTCTTCTGAATCCGATGAATTTTTATTTTTTACTGATTGTCTTCGTCTCGATCAGGAAAAAGGCAACTACTTTTTTAGCTGCTGCTTTCGGTCCCGCTCTTGTATGAAATAAATTTTTATATATTGCTTCTGGTCTCTGTGCTGGACCCAATGAATTTTTACTTTTCAATATTGCTATCATTCGTTATACTCGGTAAATATTTATTTGTTAGTCCTGATTTCTGTGCTAGACCTGGGAAATTTTTGTTTTTCCGTCGTTCCATGTAAATTCACGAACTATATATAGTAGGTTTCGAAAGAATGCAACAACTCGTTACGCAATATATATATGATATATTTCTTTGATATTTTAGGAAGTCCTTCGGTGGTGGCTTGCTGCGTTTTTACATTTGGGGATCTTTATTCTTCTGAGTAGAATTCTACAACTATTCTCTACGGTTGATTATCCTGTTATGGTATGTTATTTTTTCATTTCTTTCAGCGATTCTCACCTCTTATTCCTGATTTATTTATCTTAAAAAGTGCGAATGAAGAGAAACTTAGAGCAAAATTACTTGAAATAAATATAATTCAGCATTTGATGTATTTTGTCTTTCGCTCTTCTACCACTTTGCTAGACAAGGGGAGAAGCAGCGGACTTCAAGATTTCAGAACCCCTCATTAAACTTGTGAACCTTCAAGATACTTAAAAGGCTGGATTTGACTTCAACGAAGTTCATGCCTCTTCAACATCGGTGTCCCTTTTTTCACAGACGGCATCACATGAGTTGTATAAATTTCTGAGAATTTCAGGAGCATTCGAAATATTTCAAAATGGCCATATATCCTAGTTTTCTATAGTCAATTGAGTTTTATGGAACATTGAAGACATTAGGCGCGATGTTGATAAGAAAGAGAATGAAGATTGGAAAGTTTCATCGAAGATATTTTTTAATCTAACGATGGAGAGTTCCCAGGCGTTTTTCTGGAATTTTAACGAAAACTATATGAGTTTATCAAGTTCAGTATTATGATCTCAACTATGGAAAAATTGATGGCTGAGGTTAATCTGATAGAAAAAATTACAATCAAAATATTTTTTGATTAGAATCCTGTGGGTGACTATGGATGAATATTTTTGATGAAAAATAAAGTTTGTAATAAAAATCTGAGTGATTCATAATTCGAATCAGTTTTTATTGCTGATTGCAAATTTATTATTAGTTTGACCTTATATTGTATTTTTCTGACCAGAATCTCCTCAACAAAATCAAAACTGTACAAGATTACGTATCGATAATAGTCTGCTAGAGAGATCTTAAGCAACCAGTATTTTCTAAATCTGAAAATAATTCGATTGGTATATGAATATTTACACGAACTGAACAAAGTGATTCTCTATCGGTCGATCCAGCAACAGGCTCAACAAAATTTCCAGTCAACCTACCACTGACAATAAATGAAGTGAGCAATAAAAAAAAGATATTAGCAAGATATCTCATGATTTCGACCATAATAATCTTAGGATAGTATTTTCCGTTATTATTTCCATACGTGTCGTCGAATCGAATTGAAACTACTTCCAAGAGACAATGTGTAATATTCTGCTTGGAAACACGCATATATTTTAATAATTCAAGAATGATTCGAATTATGAATCACTCAGATTCTTATTACAAACTTTATTTTTCATCAAAAATATTCATCCATAGTCACCCACAGGATTCTAATCAAAAAATATTTTGATTGTAATTTTTTCTATCAGATTAACCTCAGCCATCAAATTTTCCATAGTTGAGATCATAATACTGAACTTGATAAACTCGTATAGTTTTCGTTAAAATTCCAGAAAAATACCTGGGGATCTTTCTTCATAAGTAGAGTATAATAGAGTAAGTAAATAAGAGTAATATTTAAAAACTGAAAAATGATCATGCGTTGGAAATATATTTTTAGATTATTAATGGCATATATTTATGTTTTACATGGATTGTCGCTTTTCGGCTAACTGTTACAATTGAAATAGTGAACTTTGTGGAAGAAATTCAGTTGGATCCACGACCAACAGCATCACCATCATTATGCCATTCTATTCCTGAATAAACGTCTCTACTTTTTTTAAAATTTTTAACTTTTACTCGATTTTTCCATTCGCTTGTTGTTACTTTTTCTTTTTCAGTCTTTCCATTTTAAGCCTTTTCATAAACACGCGTATATACATTTATTCTTTTGTTGCATTTCAGACATCAACTAGTTTTTTTTCTACATATTTTTGCAATTCAATCTGGTCAAATATTCACTATGTAAGTAGTTTCTTAACGATTATCCATTTACTCCTTTCCCCTGCTCTCTGCATCACTAGAGTGGTCGTCTTTAAAAAGATTACAGAAAATCCTGACAACATGAAATTGAAAGCTTTAAAAGATCTTTTTTTGTAATAAACTCCATGATCTATATTGGTTCTCAACCTGTCATTTTTGAGTCAATGATGTATGTTAGAAGTCGCTTGATCAATATCACAATGTCATCATTGCTATAGACTGATTGGCAAGAAAAAACGTAATACTAAGTTCAGAATATGATTCCGATACAAGAGAACAAATCAAGTGTATGAGTTTAATAAGTCGAATAAAATCTTCAACTTGTGATAATTGCGCGTCGAAAAACGACTTTCTTTGATTCTTTTTAAGAAGTACATCTGACATATCGACACTTTCATTCGTTTTTCAAAAGCATAAAAATTCAATTTCGTCTTCTGATATCCATCGTTTTGCTATTTTATACATTTTTGAAAAGAAAATATTTTCTTTTTCTTCCTTTTCAAAAAAGGTCAGTTCTACTTCCGTCAACACATTTTGAAGTTGAATGGATAGATTTGTCTTAAACTAACTTGAACATTTCAATTTGTGAGAAATAGTTCGTTTCTTGCATGTAATAAGAAATCTAAAATTGACACATTTTTCATTTTGCACCTTTAGAACGAAAATAATTGCAGAGATTAATAATTTATTAAGAAAGCTCAACATTTGAGTTTATGAATACTATTGAATAATTCTTATTCAAAAGCTTAGAAATCAATAGACGAAAGTAGACTAAAAGTTTATACCGATTTGAAAAGTACAGCATTCATATTTTTTTTATAAATAATAACTTCATACTATACTATTAAATTCAATCTTTTTAAAATAAACTAAATTTTTCAAATTAAATGATCTGCAGATTGATCTATTTTAAACTCATGTATGTATCAACTTGATTTAAGAACGAATTAATAAGGTAAGACAAAAGCGTGACAATGTACTAAGCAGATACAAAGTATACAATGAATAGAAGTATTTTCAACATGACCGTCAGAATAAAGATTAAAATTAAACAACAACAACAACAATATTTATGAAAGTTGAAATATTATAAGTTATACAAATATACGATTATGGACATTTGATATAAACACAGCTTAAAAAGCGCTTGTTAGCGCAGCTCTTTTGTGGCTGAAATGTAGAACTCTCATGAGTTCTGCAGCCGCATTAAACTAATACAAATTAGATAAAAGGAAAAATCTCTCATGAACTAAATGTTTTGCAGGATAATCGATCACCTGAATAAGAATCTCTCTAATTTCTACATTATGAACAGAAACTTTTTATTTTTTATTCGGGCGCCCAAGTTTTTGTTTCCGCTATTGTTATTTAGTCGTTGTTTTTAATTCTTTTTTCTTAACTCAATCTTGTTGTTATCGTAATCATTCAATTAAAATGATAAATAAGTCTGTTTTACAGATCGATGACATCTGCAACACATCCTAGCTCACTGTTCTATATCTTAATTAACTTACCAACAGTGATGTTCATTTTTTTCCAAAATTATAACTTCGTCGATTTTGAAAAGATCTAGAAAGTCGGATATCTATTGTCCTCGGTTGTTAAAGTCTATAATGTCGGATGTCTGTAGTAGAGGAGGGGGGATTGCAATGATCTGTAACAGGGAGGAGGCGTGAAACTGTTGCGTAAAGCTTACACTCATTATTTTCTTCGAAAGCATATGTGAGTTCCACAAAATATTCAGAAGCCTCGAATTACCTTTGAGTAGTTCTCTTTATTATGCGCATGCATTTAAATATTGATACGCATTTGCTACTCTTCTTGATTTGCTTTGTCTTTTCAGCTTTTAGGAATTTAAGAGGGACAAGCTTCATTGCAACGGTATATTGTATTTTATATTCAGTGTCGATGATTTCTTATTAATTTCTCTATTAATTGTATCTCACCAGTTGATCATATAAGATGAATCAATCTTATAAAAAATAAGACTCAAGCTATCTAATATCTTGTCCTGTGAAACATAAAAGATTATATTAATTTTCTTCTGATAGTCAAAAGTATATGTTTTTAATAGTTATACCATTATTATATTGCAGGTGTTAATGTGTACTATTTGACAGAAAAAGATTAAAGATCCGAAATCATCATCATCAAGATTTATTTATTTTTTTTATAATAAAATAATACAGAAATAGAGAAGTAATTTATTTCACTCATTGTATTATAAAATCTTTCTCAACCTACCATTCTTCTTGAAGATCCACTACCAGTCTGCCAATGTGTTTTTAATGTCTTGTAATGTTGTCATATATGCTGTGTTCATGTCGTTATTATGTGATAGTTATATTGACATAAATGCTTTCTTGACCAGCTCCGATTCCGCGGGTGCTACCCTGAAAAAGGCCAATTATGACTTGATTCTTATAAGATCATCATCAAGAATGATTGAGAAATATTGAGGGTGTATTTCATGACGACTGTCAGGTACGAATCAAAAAACCTTCATTGAGTTTCAAGAGTACGGTTCAGGACCATGTCTGAAAGGTGTCCACTCTACGCAAGTCTTTTCGATAATAAAGTCCAAAATACTTCATCGTACTTCGAAGTAATTATTTATGTTTGATTGTCAAACAGACTTATATAAAATGAATTCAAACAAATATGTACATGGTACATGTTGATAGTAAATTTGAAATAGCGAAGAAGCTCATCCGAACAGTTTTCACATATCGATTGAATATGCTGAAGTACGGAATTTTCACTCTTTGCCTCTTGCACGCATCGCACAGTTTAATCAATAATCAGGAATTCGGACGCCATGCAACTGCACACTTCCTACTTTGAGAAAATTTACTTGTTTCCTAGCAAAAATTGATGTGTTCATTGGAGGAAAAGATCATACAAAGAACAAAATATTTCTGTACTTCGCTGAATTTTGAACAGTTGTATTTGCATTACATCACGTTTTCGAAGATTTCTCTTCTACCTTATCGCTTTCGCTACACTTCTATGATTAGTTATAGATTGTCATTGAAATGTGAGCTTGTTTTTTAAAATTAACAATATATTATACATATTTAGTCAGTGACAGTAACAATTTATTCTGAAAGTATATCTATCTATATTGTCTACATTTGTCCGTTATCATCTTTTACATATCATATATATATCAGTTTACCCCTAAATACAGATTTACAGTTCTCACGAATGATCTTAGCATGTGCAAAAACGCATATATTTTTAAAATCACAGTTTTCCATCAATCGATTGATATTTCTATTGGTAATCTTGAAAGTAATATAGATTCAATAGAAACGATAATTTGCCATTTGTACTTACATCTTTTAAAATAAATGATAATATGTCATATTTTATATCTTTCTATTTTATTAGCAAAAATCTTATTTAATCTGATCGATTATGATGACACCTTCAACAAATGAAATTAACACACAAAGTGTATCAACTTCAGTGTTAGTAAATCAACAACCACAATCATACTATGTATACGAAGATGTAAGTGATCATTGTTCATCGTTCACTATTTTTCTTCAATCATTTAAAATCTTTTATTTTTTGTGATATTTTCAGTTTTTTTCAGAGTCAAAGAATGATAGAATTTGCATACATGTATATTATGAATAGTAGAGTTAAGAACAAAATTGCAAACTTTGCCTCATTTTGACCATTATTTGTATTTGAAGTAATTCTTTTCTTTGAAAACATGCTATTGACAATACTGTTTAGTATAGAGTGAGACGTGTCCGTATTCTAATATTCAAGAATTGTATGAGAATTCCATCTCTAGTCTTTTTAGTGTACAATAAACATAAATATAATCAATACCTTCTTAACAATAATCTCATAGAACGAGCTAAGCACTACGCTGAATTCTAGAATTTAGAATACTTATGCATGAATGAAATGATTTGATATTAGTATAGGTGGAATTTTTAGAATTCTAGAATTCTCAATGTTCTAAGCTTAGATTTATACTAATATTAAATCAATTCATCGATAAAAATTCTCAAATTCTAGAATTCTGAAAATTCCACCTATACTAATATCAAATCATTTTGTATTCATTTATTCTTAAATTGTAAAATCCCATCTATGCTGATATCTAATCATTTAATATATAGTTATTGTAATATTCCAGAATTCTAGAATTTCAGAACACAGCCAGTGTCGTATAGAGTTTAGCTTTGCCATAAATATTGTTTCATAGGTAGCTCTCAACAGAAAAAAAGTTTTTTTCTTTTCGAATATAGTTTTGAAAGATATACATTATACTCTAATTAAAAATTATAACATGACCAACTTGACTCAGACTTTGAAAGAGTTCTTTTCTTTAGACAAGAAACATTATAACTTTAGTAATGCATTTTTATTCTCGATAATTGCATATGAAAAAAAGATTTGAAGATGAACTATTTTTTCCTGCAGATATTATTTTTGGTTTCAAAATCATATAAGAACTAATTTTGTTCTATGGAACAGTGAATTTTTTAAAATAATTTTACGTTTGATTTTTAGCCAAGGTGATCCAAATAGAAGAACATAAGTTGTTTCAGACTGTGAACTTTATTTAGTAGAATGAACCACCTGAAATAGTTAATATCTATTTGAAACAAAAGAGATGTGGACAGTTTGAATAGGTTTTCATCGAAGCAAGATAGAAAGCTGGAGTTTTCACCCTTGCAAATGGAAGGCCAAGGCGCAAAAGTATGTACTGAAATTTGATTGGTCAGCACTGAACTAAGCAGATTAAGTCTAGAAGGA